AGTGAGGTGAGTGAGGTGAGGTTAGGCGAGGCGAGGCGAGGCGAGGCAAGGCGAGGCGAGGGGAGGCGAGGCGAGGCGAGGCGAGGCGAGGGGAGGTGAGTGAGGTGAGTGAGGTGAGTGAGGTGAGTGAGTTGAGTTGAGTTGAGTTGAGTTGAGTTGAGGTGAGGTGAGGTGAGGTGAGGTGGGGTGGGGTGGGGTGAGGTGAGGTGAGGTGAGGTGAGGTGAGTGGAGTGGAGTGGAGTGGAGTGAGTGAGTGAGTGAGAGAGTGAGTGAGTGAGTGAGTGAGTGGCTGGGTGAGTGAGTGAGTGAGTAAGAGAGAGAGTGTCATGAGAATGTGAGTGAGTGTGAGTGTGAGAATGTGAGTGAGTGTAAGAATGTGAGGGAGGGAGTGAGTGAGTGAGTGAGTGAGTCAGTGAGTGACTGAGTGAGTGAGTGAGTGAGTGAGCGAGTGAGTGAGTGAGCCAGCCTCAGAAAGCACAGACTGCTGCGCCTGCCACGAAAATCTGCACTTCGAGGTTCACAAAGCGCTGCGCCTGCCACGAAATCAGCACTGTCAGGCTCACACGAAAAGATTCACATGCGGCAAGACAGCATACAGATACCAAAACGCAGCTTTCGCGCGAGATTTCCCCCGATTTCTGAAACGAGCCACATGTAGAAAAGTCACGAATCACTGCAGTCACGAATTTGAAATTTGAGCACGTCGAAGATCATGCTGCTCCTGCCACGGAATCTGCATTTCGAAGTAAGACCGCTCCGATCCCTTGCACCTGTCACGAAAAGTCGACTTTGCACCACCAAAACACGAGGTTTCCCTTGCGCCTGCCACGAAAAGTGACCACCATGTCCGAAAATGCACACGGAACCACAACGAGAGCGCAGTCGCGACAAGCGCCCGCGCTAGCCCGCCAGATTTTGCGAGCCTGCGCAGTCGAAATGCACTTCGAGGATTTCTAGAGGCATGAATGTACTGTAAATAGCAGCGAAGTTGCCGGACACGGATGCGCGACACCTCGGCCCTTAACTTTTACCGTAAGAACCCCTAGTGTGACCACACTGTTTGGTGAAAAACAACACCCTTCGGACTTGTTGGAATAAAACCCCTTGGAGCGGCCCGGTCGGACCGGCGGAACAGGTCGTTCGCAAAGGGAAAACCAACAACCGTGAAATAGCACAAGATCACGAAACAAAAGTCATCCCAATGACCGCCTCCTCAGAACTCCCTCCAATCCCAGGCCGACCCTCCAGAACGGCCTTTTACATCATCCCGGTCGAAGCACCGTGATTGACAGCAACAGGTGTGCAGCAGCTCTTGAAATGAGGCACAGTGTGCACAGCGGCATTTTTGCTTGGGCTCTAAAGTGATGGAAAGCAAAGCCATTGCAGGTCCATCGCTGTCACGAGGTGCGTGTGTCTTGGAGCTGTAAGCCCATCTCTCGGGAACATTCTTGCCTTCTTGCATGCTAGTGCTTTAAAACCTTCTCAGAGGCAATCTGAACGCTTCCCTCAATCCAAGCTACAAAAGGTCAATGCAGTATTGCATGAATATGGTGTGGCATGAAGCATGTATACAACTCTATCTCGGTAAGCCACTAGCAGGAGCGACTTCTCTTCGAGTCGTACTTTCAAACTCCGTGAAGCACATGATGCGTCAAAGGTTCCTCGCTCTGACTGGAACCTTCTCTCGCGCGTCGGCCTCGATCTAGGCAGTGCAAGAGGTTTGTTGCGCAACTTCAGCGAAGGGGCGCTTAGAATGCCATCCAACTGCATACAACCACACTTGCCAG